ATTTAACTTATCTGTATTAATGTTAATTTTTAAAAATTTAGTTAAAAATATGTATTAATTAATCTGAATTAATTAAAATTAATTAACTTAAAAATAATTAACTAAAAATAATAATATTTTAATTAATTTGAATTAATAATTCAATAATAAGAAATTTAAATTTATTTTTTAAATTAAATATAAATTATATCTCTTAAACTACAAATATAAAATTATTTTTAACCATTTTTAAAAACTTAAAATAATTTGATATTTAATAATTATAAAAAGATAAAATAAAATTTTTAGATTATCATATTATGATATATCTAATAATAATATTTTTAAACTTTTAAAATTAATAATTATTAATATAATTTTTTAATTTTTTAATTTTTAATAATAATTTATTATCTAATAATTACAAAAATTTATAATTCTTTTTAACAATCACTTAACTAAAAATTTTTATGTAAAAATATATACATTCAAATATGATCATGACTTAGCCTACAAATAAAAAACAAATTCTCTTTACAAACTTCTTTCTTTCTTTATTCTCTCTAAACTTTCTTATTCTAAAAAACAGTTTTTTGTTAGTTTAAACGATAGTGTTTTTTTGTTAGAATATTTTTTTTACCACTTCTCTTAGCTATTTTTTCTTTTTTTTCTTTTGCTTACAAAAGTGAGCATTAGTGGATATTCTAAATGATGATCAGGATTAATAATAACTTTAGATCAACCAATCACATGTGATAATTTCCCATTACCTTTCTAAATGAGCACACTCCTTTTAGATTTCTGACATCATAACATTTGCCAATCTTAGTGAAAATTTCCAGTTTCTTACAATTATATGATTTGAGCTTTATGTAATACCTACTAGCAGCTGTAATCTGAATTAATAAATATCTTAGCATAGAAGTTTAAAAGTATTGAAAAATCTTGACAAAACTTAGTGATATAGATGCTTCTATGACAAAGGTTGCTATAATTAGAAATTAATTAGACAACTTAGCTAAAAACTTATTAGAGTTAGATTTTTTATTAGCTTCTTTTTAATTTAATAATAATTTGAGTTATTTGTTTTTGTATTAGATTTGAATTTAAAATAAGAATTATTATTAAGAAAAAGAAAGAGATATAGTAATAATCTAATTTTTTTGTATTGATAGAGACTCTATTAATAATTGTCTTCAGAATATGATGGAATAATCAATTAGTCTAGGATTAATAAGTTTTTAACTTTCAAGGACGTTCAATTTATTTTTTTCTACTTTTATACTTAGTTTTTAGGATTTTCATGTATTAACCTACTAAATTTGAATTTTTATAATAAATATGAGCATTATCACGTTTTTTAAAAAAATAATAATTACAAAAATAAAATTAGATCATCACATTTAAACTTATTAAATAATAGTATTTTTATATTTTTAAGATTAATAGATAATAAGATATATAAGTTTAAATTTTTAAATTTTTTTATAATAATTTATTATTTATTTATTTTTAAAAAATTACTAGTTAATTACTTTTTTTTTTTTAATTTTTACTTAAAAAATATCATAAAATTTATTATAAATATATTATTTTTTTTAATAATATATCTTAAATTATTTATTAAAAATAAGTAAGTATAATCAATAAATAAATTGCCTGCAAATTTATAAGCAAAACAATTAAAGGAATAATAATGAAAAAGAATTAATTAATCAAATTTTAATTAAATTTATTTTAAAATATTAAAAAAAATCTTATTTAATATAAATTATATTAATCTTATATTTATTAAATTAAATATATGAGACTTTTATAATAAAAAGAGGAAAAAATTTAATTTTACTTTTATATGTTAAATATGAATTTTAGGTTAAAATAATATGTTTAAATTTAATAATAATTTATTTTTTTATTTTTTTTTAGTTGTTTTTCTCTTTTCTATTACAAAGGTCCTATTCTTTAAATAGTAAATATAAAATTATTTTTAAAATATTTTAGAAAATTTATAATATTTTGACATCTAGTGATTATAAAAAGATGAAATAAAATTTATTAAATTTATCATATTATAATATATCTAATAGTAATAAAAATTAATAATTATTAATATATATTAATTTTTTAAAAATAATTTATTATTTAATAATTACAAAAATATAAAATTTAATTTATTGAATTTATTTTATTAAGATTTAGTAAATAGTAGTATTTTTTATATTTTTGAAATTGATAAATAACAAAATATATAAATTTAAAATTTTAATTTTTTTAATAATAATTTATTATATATTTACTTTTTTAGTTAATTTACATTTTTTTTTAAAAAAAAAATATCATAAAATTTATTATAAAATATAAATAAATAAAAATAATATTATTTATTAAATAAAATTATAAGCAAATTTTGCCTGCAATACTATTAAAGAAATATATTAATCTTTTTTGTTTTAATAAAATTATATAAAAACTTATAATGTTTAATTTATATTTTATAATAATTTAGCTTTTTTTAAATTTAATAAAATTAAATTTAAAAAAATTATTTAATAAAATATCTTTAACTAATAATTATTTTTAAAAATATATAATTTTTAAAATATATTATGATAATTTAAAACTTAAAATTATATATTATATAAAGATAGACATCATAATTAAAAAAAATAGTACAATTGAATTGCAATTTAAATCGCAATTTATGACGTAATTAAATTTTCTTATATTACAATTAAGTTAAAATTTAAAAATAATTATGGGATTATCTTTAATATTATATAATAATTTCTATTAAAAATTATAATAATTATAATTTAAAATATAAAATTAGAATTTAAATGTATTTAACAACTACTTTTATTATTTATATTAATTAATTTATAAAATATATTATATAATAAATAATAAGCTTTTTTTTATAAAGAATTTTAATAATTTCTGTTTTTCTAATTATAAGAAATTATATAAAAAAATAATTATAATATATAATATTAATAATAGGTAATAATTTTTTGAAAAAATAGCTAAATTTAATATATAATACATAAGTGATAACATGTTTTCCTAATTTAAATTATCAGAAAATTTTTAAATATTATAGATTTATTTATACTTATTAATATTTTTAATTATTTTTATTATATATAAATATATTATTATTTATGTAACTTATTAAATACATTATTAAAGTTAATTAAATTCTGTAATTGTAATTAAAAATATAAAGTAAACTATAAAAAATGTCAAGTTTAAGATTAGAGTTATAAATTGAGAAATAATTGTAAAATTTTTTACCTTTGATTATTGAAATATAAAATGATATGTTTAAGTTTATGTATTTTTTTTTTATCTATTATGCAATATAAAACTATTTTCTTAAAAATAATTAGAGTCGTAAATTTTAATCTATATTTATAATCCAACGATATGTGTGGCAAATCTAGTATTTGTTACTAAGATCTAAATCTGAACTATTTAATTTATAAAGTAAAAAATTTTTTTTGATAGTTTCATCCTTTTCTACTGTAAAGCGTCCATATACTATAAAATCGAGAAATATATTGATATTAAATAAATATATTTTAGATATTACGTTTTTAATAATTTTATAAATATATTTATTTTCTTATTTTATTTTTTCCTAGGAAAAAAAAAATTATAAAAGTAATACTTTTATTTTTGATGCAAAGGTAACGTAAAACAAGAAAATAATTATAAAAATTATTGAAATGATGAAAATGATGGTGGATTATTATTTTGGATATTAATGTTGACAGGTTAAAGTTAATTTAGAGATACATAATAAATAAGATCATTTAGAAAACTTCATATATGCCCAAACTACAGCACCGCCAATCATAACCCCTCGCACAAAACTATTTCCAAAGTACGGTTTCTTTGTCAAGTCATCATGAAGCCAATTAAAGGAAAGTAATGAACCTTTTGTTATTGAAGTTTTTTTAACATCTTCTTGATTCGTTTCAATATTTGAAATAGTTTTTTCAATGATTTGATTCAATTCATTAAAATCTATATTATTATAATTCTCGATATCCGATTTCAAAAATTCTTTTAACTTCGTAAATTCTTGACAAATAAATTCTTTATCATCAGCAGTTAAATTAGTCAACGTAGTAGGAACAAAAAAATCTTTAAAATCATTATTTGAAAAAGAAAAATTACTGCCAATTAAAGTAGCTGTAGTAGAAGAAGAAGAACTCCTTTCCAAGGGAGAAGATTCATCATGACTTTCTTCACCAGACTCTTTGATTTCCATTTCATCAGGTTCTTCATTTATAGTATCACTACCATTTAAAAGAATTTTACCTTTTAAATGTTCTCTTCTTAGCTCTTTAATACCAATCATAATTAATTTGATCCATCTTTCGTTAAATTGCATTTGCCTTAATTGTTCTTCTTTTAGTCTTAAGAATTTACGCCCGGTAAGTGTAGTATCCTCTTCTACATACCTGACTAAATCTGATATAATTGCCGGAGGATGAAGGCGTAAACAATAAGTCAGATAAGAGGCTACATGAGATGAAGACCATCTTTTTGGGTCGGATGGTAATTCTGATGGTAACGGTGGTGTAAACGAAGGTAAAGTTGGTAAGGATGCTGAACGTGTTTTATTACGAATTGTTAATGAGCTATATGAAATGGGATTTTGTGTCTTTGTAGGATGAACATTTGTCATCATCGTTAACGTTTGGAGAAGGAGAAAAGGGGGGTAAAAGATATATTTATTTCGCGAATTACTTGATATATACTGTATTTGATTTACATAGTGACACAGAGAGAAACGGGTTGGAAAATGAAGTCCAATTTTAGAATGGGAATAAATTTGTCTCATGTTAACCTTATGACCAAAATATAAAAAAAAAAAAACTCGATATCTCAACGATTGATCAACATTATTGTAACAACGACGGCTGAGATTTATGAACGTTTCACAACAGAAAAATATATAATTTCTTTTTTTTTTCCTTTCTATTCCTTTACTTAGTTATCAGATATTTATCATGTTTTCGATACCTGTAGAGATATTTCGACAAGTTTTTGAACATTTTTTAAAAGACAAACATTCATTATTCTCTTGCCTTTTAGTCAATAAAACATGGTGTGAGATAATAGTATCTATTTTATGGAGTGAGCCTTTTCAGGTTATAAAAGGACCATCAGCAACATTAATAACGACATATCTTTCTTGTTTAAATGTAAATGAGAGGGAAATATTAATCAAATCAGGAATCGATCTAAGCAATTTATTCAAAAGAAAACCAAGTTTTGAATACGCGTCATTTTTGAGACATCTTAAATATGTGGATTTTTATGAATCATCATCAGCGTGGTTGCCAGATTCAAATAAGGATTCAACGAAAATCTTTACAGTAACAAGAGAATTATGTAAATTGTTTATCAAATGTTCAAAAATACTTAGCCTTAATATTAATTTAGAATTACTTCCTCACCCACCAGACAATGCAGATTATATGTTAATACCATGTTTTCCTAATGCAGAAACAAGTTTATTACAACTACAAGAATTTAACTGTTGTGGAACATACGATAAGAAAGAAATTTTCATAGCGTTATCACAACTTTGTAGAAATCTAACAAGTTTAAGCATAGATTATTATTTAGATGATATTATAAAAACGTCAGCTCCAACGAAATTAGCGCAATTAATTAAAAGTCAACAATCATTACAAAAATTTAAAATTCAAACATATTACAGATCTTTATCAAAAATTATACCAGCGTTAGAAAGTCAACAAAAAACTCTCAGGGAAATAGAATTTCGTGGTATTAATTTTGAAGATGAAGTAACGTTCGCACCTCTCATAGCTTGTAAAAATTTAGAATCCTTAATATTTTTGAAATGTGATAATGTCAAAAACGAAGCAACAAAACCATTGGAAACAGCACACTTTCCAAAATTAAAAAAATTGATATTTCATGTGGATCATAATCCTCCATTAACATTAACATCATTCATATTCAACAATAATGATACATTGCAAGAAATTTCATTGGGATGGCCACCGATTTATGATTCACAAGAAGATCCAAAAATAATCGAAACGATTATTCAGTATTGTCACAATTTAATTATATTTGATGCTCATTTACAAATTCATCAATTAAAATCATTATTAATTTCTTGTAATAAGTTGGAAAAATTAATAGTACATGGTCGAGAACCTTTAAATGCTAATGAATTCTTAATCGATATTGGGCAAATGATCCCTGAAAATCTAAGGAAGCTTACTGTTAATGCAATATGGTCTTTTACTCCTAACACTTTAAAAGAGTTTTTAGATTGTTGTATTGCACCTTTAGAAGATTTGGGTTTTCCTGATTGTTATGCTATTAATGATAATCATTTAATTATTTTCACTGAATATGCTAAGGAAAAAGGTACACTGAAGAATTTAAATATTAAAATATCTCAAATTACCAGAGAAGCTTTCGAGGTTGCTAAATTTAGTATTGAAAATATTGTACATTGTGGTAGTTTTTAATAGAAGTATTGGGGTTTTTTTTAACTTGACATTATTTTATCATATATTTATTAAGTTTAAATTATACGTGGTAGCAAACTTATGTAGAAGAATGGAGTTGACTGATTACAAGGTTATTAAACAAAAAATTCATGACTTGCGTGCAATGTTTTCTTTACAATGTGAGAAGTGAATAAAATTACGTTATATGCGATATTCGCTAATTATTAAGGAATTGAATTGATCATGTTATGATTTAAGTGGAACCGTTTTTTTACGAACTATTTTCTTTTTTATGAGCAGAATTACTTTGTAAAGACGGAACATAAACACTGAACAAAAAAAAAGTATACAGTATATTTGTATGCTATTGAATGGGGAGTAACTAAATCGATGCGAAGATATTAATATTACTGTTCTGACATTAGGAATGATATAATAGACATAATAGACCGTGTAGTAATATTTGTTTCAATTTATCAAATTAATTTATAAATGTATTGCGTTTATGTCGAGGGATTCTTGTTTGTGCGTACGAGTTAAAAATATAAATTCATAAATGTTTTGGAATGAATAGAAAAAATCAATAAATTTATCTTTATCGAAATAGAGTTATTACAAAAATCCTTATAATATTGCGCTTATGTATCCAAAGGTTGTTATGATACGGCCTATGGAAAAGTAACAACCTTTGGATGAAATCAAATAAAAATTTCGCCCTCATTCTATCTCGCAAATTTATTATTAAAATCTTCTATTTTAATTTTTCGGCACTATCACTATATAGTTAGTTGTTAGCTATATTAAAATTAATTACAATCATCAATACTACTATTTAATAGATCTTAATGTAGTAAATCCAATAAACTAAATTTTATATGTTTGTAATTATTTTTTTTAAAGATGTGATAATGCTCATATTTATTATAAAAATTCAAATCCAGTAGGTTAATACATAGAAATCCCAAAAATCAGGTACAAAAGTAGATAAAAATAAATTAAATTGCCTAAAACGTCCTTGCAAGTTAAAAGCTTACTAGCCCAGACCAATCGGTCATCCTGCTATACTTAGGAGACAATTACTAATAAAGTCCTTCTCAATGCATAACAATTAGATTATTACTATGCTCCTCTCTTTTCCCTAACAATAATTCCTATCCTAAATTTAAATTCAATACAAAAACAAGTAACTCAAATTATTGTTAAACCAAAAAAGAAGCTAATAAAAAATCTGACTTCAACAAGTTTCTAGTTAATTGTCTAATTAATTCCTAGTTATAGTAACCTCCTGATATAGGAACGTCTATATATAAGGCTGAAAATAGTACTGTAAATTCTGGCAAAATCCAGAATTTTTTGAAGAAAATCTGATAAAAAATTTTTTGTTTTGATTTTTTTCTGGTAAATTTCACAAGTAACAGATCTCTATCTGAAAAATTTTCTTATATATTAGCATATTATAATAATATATAATATAATCAATCTTCATATAATAATCTATTTTTTCAAAAGTTTTTTTTTAAAACTCATGCAAAATACCAAAATCTATCATTATAGTTATTACTATTTGTAGTGACAATTTTTACAAGAATAATGTCTATTTAACAATACTTTATAAAAATTCCTAATATTAATATAGAAATTAATGATATATCTGAGTTTAGTATTATGGATCTAAGTTCAAAACAAGAAATTAATATTGAATTACCTAAACTACCGAATAATAATCATAAGTATATAATAAAGAAATATAAAATATCTAAAAAAAAGTAAAAAGAGTGGTTGATTATATACTTATAGCTAATTTATAACATGTTAAAAAAATTTAATATTTTGTTTATTGTGCAAATTTTACAACAAGCAAAATAAATTTAGAAAAGAAGGTAATGATTTTTATTTAAAATAATTAAATGATTTATTTATATAAATATGCTAATTATTAAATCTAATTAAAATTATCATTATTAAGCTCAAAAAACTTTAAATTTTCTGTGCTAAGAGAATATACTTTAATAAAAAATCATACTTATGCAATAAATCATAAAATTGCAAAGGTAGAGCTTATAAAAGTTACAAATAATACTATAGATAAAACTCAACATCATATTGGTACTTTAATAAAAATAGTTTTTTTTGCTAGCAGAAAATGATGTTCTGTTAACAAATTACTTAAAGTTATACAACTTTGTAGGTCTCTTAAATGTTCCTAATTATTATCAAGTTCTAATTTAATTACATATAAAAACTATTTCTCTGAACGTCAGATTCTATCAGCTATTTCAAATTCAATAAAAAAAGCTATTTGAAAGAAATTAGATAAAGCTACTACATTTGGTATAATGATTAATAAAAGTACTAATATTTCATATGAATCACACTTTATTATATATGTTAAATATTGCTTATATGAAAATATTAAAATTCATTTTTTAAAATTACTTCATCTAAGAATAAAGATTCAAAATCTATTTTTGAATTAATTAGATAAAAAATTTGTATTTTTTTTATAATCTATTGTTTAATTTAAATTAATTTTTAAAATTAATTTAAAATATTTTTTTAGGATTAACAAATA